TTGGTGCGGTGGGGTTGGGAGCTTTGGGGATTACTGCCCGTTAAAACTTTGCCAGCTCCGAGAATCTCAATTCTAAGAGAACCCTTACCCTCAAAGGACTCATATTTTAAGGCTTTTGGGCCCAAGGACCCTATTATAAACGGCTTTTGGGCTACTTTGATGCTAAGGGTAAGGGTCCAAAGGACCCAAGAATCAGGTACTTTGGTTGCGGATAGTAGTTATCTGGGTTAATATTTGGGAGAGTATATGATTATTATGTACTTGGACCCTTAGGGTAACCTAGGTATTGTATAGTTTTAGGGTTTAGGGTTCCGTATTTTTTGAATTATTTTTTGTTTTTATTTATTTATTTTTGTTTGGGGGGGGGCCTGGGTTGCGGGTTTAGGGTTTAGGGTTTAGTAATGTATAGGGTTTAGTTCTTGTCTTGGTTGAGCACCTTTTCTCCCAATTCACTCTCGCGTGTCTCGAAAGAGGGCACATGGACCAGGGGATGTGCGCTGAGGGTTTAGGGTTCAGTATTGTATAGTTGTTTACAGGGAACCGAAGACCACAAAAAGGAAAAAGAGCCCACTTGGAGACCAAGTATCTGCTCACAGCCACCGTCACCGCCGCCCTGGGATGTGGGTTCAGGTTGTGGGGTGTTGCGACCCCCTACCGTCGAAGTATGAGCAATTCGAACAACGTTTGGGGTGCTTCATGCTGCAACACACTCAGGCTTGTGCAGGTGCAGTCGTACTGACGATGAGGCTCCTATACTCGAAGCGGTACTTCGCATCCGCCACCTTGTGCCCTTCATGGACGCCTGAACCCCAAGCTGAGCGTGCATGTCCTTTGATCAAGTAAGCACAGGCACACACACAAGAACAAAGGAACAGTACGTGTGCTGTGCATGTGTGTGCATATATATAATTGTATATATACATATACATATACACACATGCATAGAAAGGTTTATGGTAATATAGAAGGTACATAATACGAATGACTCGCGACTGCGATCTTCAAACTCGATAACAAGGAGCAAACACTCCCTCCAAATGTAAGATTTGTGGACCATAGATGCTAAAACAGTTGCCAACACTATTTCCTGGGCTTCCTTGACATATTTATACGACGATGTACCCCATGCACTATTCTGACGATTAAGTTCACTTAAAAAATCAACCAAGAACCTTATCGGTCAAGCCCTGAAGCATCATAATAGGCTCCCACGTAGTACAGTCAAAAAACAAAGGACTCCTTCCTCCCATTTTTCGGCTCCAGAAGGGGGGACTCGAAAACACCAAACAAAAGCCTATACTACTTGGGAACTTAAGCGATTTGGTTCTTCTTCCTCTCTCGCCTGTATTTGTAGACTAACCACAAGGGACGTCTTCTTGTGCATGACCTGTCTCGGGCTTCTCAACCTCAAACCCTAAATCTTAAACCTGTTAAAGCACTTAAGCACTACCTATACTCTCCATGTAGTTCCTTTTTTGGGTTCCCTTGTAAGGTTTGGAATATAGACTTGGTTAAAACAAAATATTAAGGAACCACAATTTGCAATCGAGACTATGGGTAAATCCTGAATCCAGCTTGCGCTCGTGGCTTCCTGCAGGCAGAGAGGCTCCGGCCTCCATGTCGCGAAGGAAGGGCTCGCCACGCATCCTGCTCTGCGTTTAGGGTTTACCTTAAGAACCCAAAACCTACTTTTTTGTAGGGTCCCTATAAATCCCATATTAGGGTTTGTAATAAGAACCTACAAAAAAGTGGGTTTTGGGTTCTTAAGGTAGGGTTTAGGCGGGAGGGTTTAAGATTTGCAAGGTGGCCGTGTTGGGGTGGGGCTTAGGTGCTGGTGTAGAATCTTGGGTTCACAAGTAAGCAAGCAACTTATGAGTTTGAAGCTACGTCGGCCGTAGATGTGCTAAGTGCCGGGTGCCTCCTTGCTAGATTCTCATCCCCTGACCTCGGTTCTGGCATGCTAAGGCCTTCAAAAACCTTCACCCCCAAAGTTCAAAGCCCGAAAGCCCTCTGCCATTCAACAGGAACCCCAAAAGCACTGAAAATCTCTGCGCTGGGGTAACTTTCAATACTGTTTGTGCATTTCATGTCCTTAAGGGTCCATGTACCCAATTTGGCCTTAAAGTAGTCCCTAGATAGGTACTTTGGGGCCAATGTATGTACTATATGAGTACAAGGACCCTTAGGGTGGAAGTTCGCCCCACACACTAAACATAACCTCCGGAAACCCTACCCTGACCTCGAAGAACCTGCTTTTTCGGGCTCCCCACTACGATTTCCGTTTCTAGATCACTAACATGTTACAATGTTAATCTTTTGGGGGCTCAGTGGTAGTTCATAGGTAGGGCTTCAGCGTGTTGTATATTGTTGGGGGTGGGGAGGATGCTTAGGGTTTGGGTTAGGGTTTAGGGTTGAGGGTTTAGAGTTTAGGGTTTAGGGTTCGGGGTGTGGGGTTTAGCGTTTTCGGCAGCGTCGTCCAGAGTCCAGAAGGACAGAAGGCCTCAAACATGCAAACGTGTGAACCAGGGTGCTGATTTCAGAAGATATTTGCGGGAAGATGGAAAGCTTGCACCTTGTTCACTATGCTTGTGATAACTTTACACCTGGGTTGCGTGATGTGTGCATTTTTGGCACCACAGAAATGGTATCGACTGCAACAGTTGTGCATGTGTGTGTGTGTGTGTGTACAATTGTATACATACATATGGCATGGCTTCCGCCAGACCCTACGAGAAGCTTCTGGCATTTTTTGTCATAAACCCTAAACCCTAAACCTAAAGCCAAGAACACAGCCCTAAACCTTAAACCGAAACTTCCGACCACATAGACCAAGCCAAAGCTCAAAGTACCTACGTAGCAGGTTACCAGTCCTACATAGCATTCGAACACGAAGATCAGTGTACCCTTTGCTTGGGGAAGCCGCACCACGGGCGATACCCCGACCGCAACCCCAAGCTCTAAATCCTCAACCCTATGAGGGTTTAGGGTTTAGGGTTTGGGATTCAGGGTTTAGGGTATAGGGTTGAGGGTTTGGGCTTCGGGGTTTAGGGTTTGGGATTCGGGGCTCAGGGTGAGCTCATAAACGCCACAAGTGTACACTTTAGGTTCTATAAAGGATAGTACTATCTCAAAAAAGTGTAAAGAGTATTCACTCAGCTACTAAGCTGAACACAAGCTACACCCCCCTAAACCCTAGACCCTAAACCCTAGGTCCTGTTCAGCTTTTGCTTGGCTTCGGCGCGCTTGCGCTTCACTGAGGCCTGGCGGAGCTTGGGTCTCTTTGTACCAGGATGTTTCGGGTTTAGAGTTTTGGGTTTAGGGTTTAGGGTAGAGGGTATACCCTCTTTCATGGAGGCTTACTGGTCCTTGGTAGTGTGTACTTAGGATCGAATAAGGGGTAGTTGGAAGGGGCCGGTAGGGTCGAGGGATTACTTCTTGGGAGGGTCGGGCAACTCTTGTGATGCAGCAGGTGAAGAGCGTGGCTGCACCTGCTAAAACTCTCCTTCTTTCGCCGTCACTTAAACTATGAAAATAGAAACCCTAAACCCTAAACCCAAGATCCGGGATGCCTCGGAAGACAGATCCAACTATCATCAGTGTGGGGCCTGAAATATCAGATTAGGGCCGAATCGGGTCTGGAGCCATATGGGTAGTTTTCTAAATTAGGGTCCCTTTTGGGTCCTTTTTATAAGAGTGCCGTACTATATTGGGGACCTACAAAGGGACCGTAATTTAGAGAACTACCCATATTATAGTATAAGCCGAAGAAGGAACCCTAGGGAATTATAAGGGCCTTGAAAATAAACTAGAATAAGGCTCTGGGGTCCTTTATGGTATAATTAAATATAATCAGGAACCCTAAGGAATAACATATAGGACGTCCTTTTGGTTTTACAGTTTCCCTGGGGTGCACTCTTCTCTGCAACGCCCAGCTTGGTTCCCAAAGGGTTCAATGCACCTATATAGTATAATGTAGAGTCTCTATATTAAGAATAGTCGTTATGATTTGGGAAAGTATCCCCTATAACAGTACCTAGGACCCTTTGGGGTTTACGGTGGAAGAGAGGGTTTGAGGCTTTTGGGCGTTTAGGGCTTAGGCCTCTGCGTTCCACCTCGAGTGTCATACCCTATCCCTTGCTTTGGATACCTAGCCCCCCTATACTGGGCTTTGAAGTAACCAGGGAGAAAAAAGTATAGACTTTTATTTCATAATGGTTCCTTTAAGGAGCAGGTCCCCAAAAAAGTATTAAAGTATAGTACTCCAAAGCCCAGTATACCACTTTCCAAAGGTCGCACCAGCAGGGTGCGAGGCAGGAGCTCGACTTCCTCCGCTTGCTGGGTCATAATGATAGTTTAATAGTGCCAAAGTAGCCAAAGTATATAACCCTCGAGCCTAAACCCTCAGAAAGTACCCTAAACCGTAAACCCTAAGAAAGTAGCCAAAGTATATACTAACAGAGTACATGGGTCCTCCGCGTTGATGGGGGAGGACGGAGTCTTGCACCCGCAGGGTTTACTTTGAGGATCATGAGACTTAGTAGCTAGGGATATACGTGAGGTAGCTGTAGTTATAGTTAACCAAGTGCTTATAACCCCAGTTAGGGTACTTGTAAGCTTACTTACTAAGTCCCATGATCCTCTTCTCAGCTGCTTAGGAGGTTCCAAGAACCAGGCAAGTTTGAAGGGTTTAGTTCGGTTCTTACCAAGGAACTGACGGACCGCGGCAGGCACCCATAGTGAACACTATTCCTGGTTATGTCACATACTTGAACAAAGTTGCTGATCGAGAAGACAGGCTAGTGAGGTGCCAGGTATGGACTGAAGATGCTGGTTAATGTAGGGGCCTTAATAATTCGAATAGGGTTTTGGGGCCCAGTATAGTATAACAGTTTTTAAGAAACCCCCAAAATAGTATAGGTAATTGTTTAAGCCCCTATATCACGGCTTGGGGTGTCAAGCGTCCCAAGTACAGGGTTTGATGACTATTCGATCTCCATGGTTTGCTGCACCAGGCGTCTGCGTCAAGTGGGATCTCTGGCACAAGCTCTGTAAGAACTCTCGAATATGTGAGTACGACATATGGGTAGTTCTCTAAATTAGGGTCCTTTTTAAAGGGTGCCGCACCATATTGGGGACCGAAAAAAGCGACCCCACCTTAGAGAACTACTCATATGCTCTGGTTGCAAAGGGTGTGCAATCCACACCCCGTAACGCAACATGCTGAACCGTTCCGAGCCGCTGACCCCGAAGCCCTCTCTTTGTTTAGGGTCAATAGGGTTTAGGGTTTAGGGTTCGGGGGTTTAGGGTTTAGGGTTTCGGGGTTTAGGGTTTGGGGGTCTGGGGTTTAGGGTCAATAGGGCCTTAGGTGTTGAAGGAAAGACTGAACCGACAACACTTGGGTGGTGGCGAACAGTGTCCCACAAACCCTTACCAAGCTTCTGCTTCGAGGAAAAAGACATATTGACTAGAGGTACATGGATGCCTCCGTATCGCTAGCATATCATGCCATAGGAGGACGTTAACATTGACAGGCGACAAAAGTCAAGTCTCCAAGGCCAGTAGCCCAATATCTGTTCATGAAAAATTGTACCGTGTCCGAACGGCTGAGGCCTTAAGCATCCATAGCATACCAAGTCACACCTTCAATGCCTTACCCTAAACCAAAACCCGCAAGTATAACATAAACCCTACACCTTATGCTCATAGCCATCCTTTAGTTAGGGGTGCTTGCTGGATGCCCCAATTGGCATCCTCCCTCTCTCTCTCTCTCTGGGTAGTTTTCTAAATTAGGGTCCCTTTTGGGGTCCTTTTTATAAGGGTGCCGTACTATATTGGGGACCTAAAGATGGACCCTAATTTAGAGAACTACCCATCTCCACTGCATGCCCCACCAAAGCAGAAACAGAGTAGCACGTCTCAAGAATACATGGACTAACGGTACACCAAACGAGAGGTACAGAGGCAACCTAAACCCTATAAACTCAAAGTCCAAGACCCTAAATCCCTAAACCCTAAACCCTAAACCCTAAACCCTAAACCCTAAATCCCTAAACCCTAAACCCTAAACCCTAAACCCTAAACCAACCCAAAAAGCCACCAGTGTCCTTCATGTACGTCTCCAACTTCTTCACGTGCAGATCATGCAACTTACGGTCCGGTGGCATGGGCTTCGCACCTGCGCTGGCTGACTCTTTAGGGTTTAGGGTTTAGG